GCTGTGTGTGTGTGTGTGTGTGTGTGTGTGTGTGTGGATTTTCAAGCCTATTTCGTCGGTTTTTACAAGAATAGGACAGACTGAATTCTCTCCGCCAATGATTGAACAAAACTCTTCCTATAGTGTTCAAATATTGTCCATACGTGTAGGTGTTAGTGGCCTAGTGTTATAGATCATCAAATCATCACCCTGCACTACGCGTGTTCGAATCCCAGCTCCACAGCCCCCTCCCACCCCCCACCAGCGATTACCACCGCGCATTCTCTGTGTTACGTATGGTAGCCCTTCGAGTGAGTGATTCCCTCTTCTAGAAAAAGATTGTTAGTTAAATAAGATGAAGCAAAATGGACAAGAAAAGAAGAAACGTAAAGTGGAAAGAAAATATTAGAACCAATATGATTTCTAAACAACCAAGTCCCGGGAAGAAGTGAGTCAATTTTAAGTAGTGTGTGATATAACAGGATGCATGAGAGTCGTGGAATCTTTAATTTCATTATACAGTAAATACTGTACTACACAGAGAACACTTTACAATTTTTTCTACTTGATCGCATTTTATCAGCAATTTGTAAATCATCGACTCAAAAGAGAATCACGGACCCTGGACCTTACAGAATGAACACTGATCATAGATAGCCCTGGCGGGTAGCGTTGAGACAATTGAGGCGCGGTGGTAAGAAATATGCGAAATTTTCTTCATTCACCGAAACAAACAAAAATGATAAGCCCAGACTTTATGAGCAATTAGAATAACCAGACAGAGCGTGAGATTGTTTCTGCAATCCAGCTGGATATTTCTTCGTTTCCCGTCAACCGCGTCCGGGTGAGCTGCGATCCGTATCGCTACTAGTGCTGGTTTCCGTATTGCCATGAACTACTTACTGTTACTCTGTCCAGACTAGTTTTGACCGGTGAAAAATTTCGCTTTATCACCGCAACAGATTGCGTGTCCGGGTGTATGACTACGACCACAGTCCACATTTGGGGCAGTGATCAGTACTCTCTTTCCTCCTTGCCTCCACCCATGAACTATACACGCGCGTCAATCATGAGTGTTGTTTCTTGTGTGTGTGTGTGTTTTTCGCTTTTCCTCCCTTTCTGATTTTTCATTCAGGACAAGAAAAAAAAATAACCTTGTTCTGTTCTTGTTTGATTTTAGCTGTGCAATTCTATGTGACGTGCTCCCAACCACGAACGTGGTACGGTCCGATCCGGTCCGGTCCGATGCGGGGCGTGGTCAAGCCGATCTGTGCTCATGTCCGCTAGACTGAACGACAGTGAGAGAGAGAGAGAGAGATAGAACCGACCCACTTGAGCCGGTTGGATCTGGTCGACTTCAAGTCCTAAATCAGCACGCAAACCACCACCAGCAACAGCACTGTCAGAGATTTCGCTTGGGAAAACCGATCGGTCAAGCGCGTAATCCATCCAGATTGTTGAATTCCGAATAATTTTCACTGAACTGGACTGACTCTATTCCCCGTTGCACAGATCTTATTTCGCGAATACATATGTTACGAATTCATTGATTTCGGTTGAAACCTGTTACCGTACGCTTCCGTTTGGAACGAGCCACACGATTTCACAGGTATGATAGTTAACTGAATGACAGAATCGACTGATGCTATCCACCCATGACCGAAAAAGATTGGATGAGTTTGAGTGTCTACACCGCGGCAGCAGCATTTAAACAGGTTTCTTTAAAAGAAGCACGTCTTAAATCAGTGAACAATATGAGAGAATTGTTCAGCCGACATATATATATATATATATATATATATATACGGGTTATTACTACATCTGTTGTGAATAACTCATTATGCGATTGCTGAGTGCCGACTAACGTATTCGGCAAACGGCAGGCAGACAGACAGACAGATAGACTAGCAAAAAAGAAACAAAATGTTTTGAACAAACAAAGTTACGAGATGTGAGTGGATGACGCCTCTCAAAGGATAAGACAGTCCAGGGAGGGGTGTGTGGGCGCTCGCACACGTCCGCACGCTTTTCTCAATGGGGACAAAATCGACAGACACGTGTGTGTGTGTGTATGTGTGGAGAAGGCGGGAGAACGATTGTGAATAATTTTCCACTCACACAAAAATCTAAACAAAATCTTCTGTCTATCGACGGACGCACGTGAAGTTGCGCCTTTTTATAGTAAACCTATTGATGTTTGGGCAGCGAAGAGTAAATTATTTGTTCGATTGACAGGAAAGATAAACCTGCTCATCATTATTCTGATGTCGGGCGGATTCCGCTTTCCCCGGACATTACTCACTGGACGAAAACACTTGAGCGATTCGGTACGGTTTGTCACTGTCCGTCGCGCGCGCGCGCGCGCGCACACACTTCACCCTGTGCCAAAACAGCAAGTATATGGGACAAATCTTGTGGCCAAAAGACGACTACGTATTGCTCATGATCGCGGGTAATCTGATCGCTTGCAATTTGTGTCACATAAGGCCCGAAATAAGGGGCACAGAAATCTGGTGATCAACTCCAGGATGGTGAAGCTGTTTGTCATGAAGATTGAAACTTTGTGAGGAAAAAAACGTTTCGCTTTACTAAATATTGTATTCGTACTGCGATATATTGTTTATTTCTTTTCATTTTTACTTCCTTTTATTGAATATAGAAAGATACAATTTTCAGGAAAGGGTACGTGGCCAATCAAAGGCCTGCCATTCGATACAAAACGGAGAAAGTTAAGTGATGTTGGGATTGGAACACGTATCCTCGGGTTGATAACTTGGTGACGTTACCACCGAGCTACCACCGTCCGATATTGATAAGATCCAATCACCAATGAAATAGGATTCAGCTCGGGTATACTTAGCCGCCTAGCAATGTCTACGAGTGCTAGGGTGCCCTTGTAGAATAGTAATTCAAAATGAAGACAACAGATTCTCCCTTATGTGATCAATCAATTTGGGAAACAGGCGAACATGACATAATGTGTTACCGAACATAGTAAAATGACAAATCTCATCCATGGAGAGCATTTGAAAATAAACGAAACGTCTGTCGAATTGCTTATCTTTTATCTTCTTGATGCTGTTCCACTTCTGTGATAATCATAAACTGATTATACTTCTGTTGTGAGGTACTACTCACGTTTGTGAGTAGTAGGTAAAACAATACGGTTAGTGGTCTTTTCGACGATCAAAAATGAACAAGACTACGTAAATTGGTGTACTGTGTTCCAAATAACAACTAAGAACTGTTTTTTTCATTATTCGGTGTTCCGGCGGGCATTTTGATGACACCTTCTAAATGAGATATCTTGTTATATGTACACCAAATTATCGATTTCCTAACTTTGGTCTGCAATAAACCGGTTTCCTAGACGAATCACGGGTTTCCGGAATTATAGCACGTTTATCTCTCACTGAATTAACTATTGTCCCAAAGGACGCAGCCCACGAGGATGATTGGTTTCTTGTTATGTGCTGAAGGCCTTCAATGAATTGCGCGTTGTTAATTCTCTGACAGTGAATTTCTTTGAATACATTCCTGTTTGTGATGATCTACCATCAATATGCTGGCAGGGTTCGAACCTCGTACCCTAAGGCTGAAAGTACGACGGTAAAATCGACCTAAACGGCTTGAATACTGTCACCACTACCATCACCTAATGTCTTATGTCTCTGATTCGATACCTTTAATTTACACGACAAGGAATACCAGGGTTTACTCTAATACATAAATGAAGTTGTAAGCTGTATTCTGCAACAACCGAGTAGCCTGTTGTAATTTGTCTGACCATTCCGATCAGTGTATCACACATAAATGAAACTGTTTGCTAAGAGAATAACCTAAACTAGTGTATTTCTTCTTCTGCCTTCCTCTGATGATTTACTTGCTTTTTATTTAGAATTTTTGATTGCTCCTTTCATGACTGGACAGGAAAATTCAATGGCATATGAATCACTTCATTTATTAACCAATAGGCCCCGCCTTCCTCGCCGGTTATTGGAGTGCGATCTCTTCTCAGCTGATTCCAAAACCAGTATTGTGTTTTATTCAAACATTCTCTTTCCACAGTATCAATATCTCTGCTGCCCTGAAGATGATCAGACACCCGTGGCAGTTGGTGCGCATTCCACACGATTCGAGGTTATTTCCAATCTATTTCAAACACAGTCTCTCGTCTCATCCCATCTTCATCACCTTCGCTTCTTTGATTGATTCTGTTAAATCATTTCGATCTGGTTGTTTTTTTTTAATTCCTAGTATTGTAAATGAGCAAAGCGGTGACGGGACAAGGATAGTTGTTTGTTACGAATAATTGTGACGGTAACGGTAAATTGGCATACATACAACAAAATGTCTCATTTAGAACAGGTCTCCGTAATTCCCACAAGAACCAAGGATAAATAATTGAACGATCAGCCGTTACCATTTTGAGCACAGTGATGCGCTTTAGAAGGTATTGTTGATCTTTTGTTTTTGACCTTTGGATAAAACGACCAGTCACGTTTGTTTACACAACCCAAACATACTACTCACAATATTATTTATTCAGCATTCACTATCAGCTCTCCGTCGATGCTGTCACAAAAATGCGAACCTATGAATGCTCCAAATACTTGTTGACATTTTAATCTAATTATTTAACTTGCAGAATATGAACCATTGGACTTGTAAAGATTTCATTTTTGAACACTGACTCCAAATTAGTACCAAGGAGCAAACGTTCCTGATCAATAGTTCATCGATTATGTATCTGTCTCAAAATTAATTTTTGATCCCACCCTACCTCATCCCACCGTTCAATCAGATCTCAGTTTACATCTGAGTTGAGAGCAAATATTTCGGCTGTGACTATTGTCTTTAACGCTTCACCCAATCTACAGGTCACATGCTGATAAATAACAAATCATTATTCAGATAGTACTGTCTGGTCAACAAGCTTTGATTAGTCAACTCGGTTGGAAGATTCTAATGGTAGATGATCGCATTCAGCATTTCAAATTCCATATCAGTCATTCATACTTTTCTATCACATTTGCTTACTTCAGAATTATGCTTCGTGGCTTGCTTGAATAATCTTTAAAAATTCTTTCACTGCCAGTCGCGTTTACCTCAGTTTATGTACAACCCCCCCCCCCGGGCGAATTGTGAAGCCTTCACATTATCACATAAATTATTGTATCAAGTTAGCAAAATGATTATTGCTTAGCTCAGTTGAATTTTTCACACCGAGTTACCGCACCACTTTTCTCTCTCCAAATCGTGTCACAAACCGCATCTCGTTTAGCAAGATTGTCCAATGTTCTCTGTGTGTATCTCTCACAGATACTCTCTCTCTCTCACACACAGGGAGAGACCGACAAGTATACTCCGTGACAAAGCTGAACATCCAATTATGTAGATGACCTCCGGTAACCAAGGCTTTTGATATAAAATGTAATCACTATGGTGATTGGTGAGTGCCATCTCCCCTTTTGAGTTGAAAATTAAACTGTCGCGTTTGGACAAAATACATGCAATCATAGATATGAGTTTCTTGTAAGTAAATCTCTCGTCAGAAGGAACTAATTCTAGGCAGATTTCCTACTTTCAAAATGGCCACTGCCCTGCCCGGGATCTTCACAGCCAAGA